GGAGGCAGGCTCATGTGGCAGTGAATTGGGCACTGCCTGTTCTGGGGAGGAACAGCCCCTCCGGCCCCACACCACTGCTCCCCCACCCCCCGAGCTGCTGAATGAGCCAAGAGTGCCTAAGCAAGCCGTGTTTTTCCTTCCTGTTTTTAGTGAACACTTATGAAAGGCCTGGCGTGTCCTGCGGCCCAGCGCTGACAAGGACTGGGACCCTCAGCCACCTCCTCCCACCCGCCCTGACACCTGGAATCCGCTGGAGCCTTGCGGCTCAGCACCTCCGCCTTGCACACATCTTTGCTGGAGAAGGGCTTTGAGCGGGTTGAGTAACTCTTGGTCCTTCCGTGCAGCTGAGAACTGTGGGCCAGGCCCCCGTGAGGCCTTGGGGGGCAGGCCGCCAAGCAGGGACAGCAAGGCAGCTTGTGGGGTCACTTCTCGGCTCCTCCTGCGCCCCCGGCTCGCTGACTGCCAGGGCTGGGGCTCAGGGCCGCGCCCCGGAGGCGTGACTGCATGCGCTGCAGACTCCGCGTGCCCCATTGCGAGCTGGCCCTCGATTCTCCAGCGATGCTGGAAATCCTGGAGCAGCTGCGTTAAATTAAACCACACAGCCTTAAAGCTGACCAGAAGCTGCCCCCGGCCGCTCACTGTGACAGTAAATCAGGCGTGTCTCGGGCTGGTCCCACCCTCCAGTTGTCAAGGTGACAGAGAAGTCTGTTTTGCCAAGGCAGGGCAGAAGCACTCGTCGCTGGGAGGGTCCTGGTGTAGACCAGGCACAGCTGTCCTTACCCCTGTGTCATCTAGACCTGCACTGAGCAGAAGAGGACACAGCAATGATAAGGCCACTGTCCTGCCCATGTTAGCGCAACTTCCCCTAGAACTGCATCAGTGTTCAGGCAAAAATAGATGGGTTCCCTCTTCCCCCCCACACACAAAAAATGTCTAGTGTAAACCCAGCCCAAGCTATCAGCAGTGAAATGGATCAGTGTTGGCATTTAAACTACCATCATTAGGTTTCAGGGTTAACCAACTGACGTGAAGGGGGCTGTTCACCCCTCTTGGAGCAATTGTTTCAGGCTGACTGTAGACTCAAGCACTGTGTGGTGGGGAGGGAGCTCTGCTCCCCTATCCCTAAAATAGCATGGCTGAGTATTATGGGGCTGGCCCTTCCTAGCCCTGCTGAGCCCTGCCTGCGGGGGCCTGGGGAAGCCATGTCTGGGGTCAGGCCCGCTCCCTGGTTCTCAGCATGGTGTCCTCTGCCTTGGTAGCTAAGGGGCATGTTTGTAGTGTGGATGGGACCAACTGGGTCAGACCTGTGGCAGGCCCAGCCTGGTCAGTCTGGTTACAGTCCTGCTGCCTGGAACAGGTCCCTGCCTGCATTTGGATCTGTGGCATAGATGGGCCCTTGTCTAATCTTAGGGTCTGTGTTCACTGCTGAGTTAACCCAGGCACTTACCCCGTGGAACCTCAACCCCCTCCTGTCCGCACACAACCCTGTCCCCTGAGTTGGGTGGTGCTCTCAACCCTGGCTAGCTGGCCCGGGTGCCATTTTCACTCGGCTGGGAACCTGCCCACTTTGCAGTGAGGGCGCAGGCTAAATCACTCAGTGCTGATAGTCCTCCAGCGCCTTCCCACAGTTCCCCTGTGTGCCCAGGAGGACAGACAAGTTCTCCCACAATTCACTGGGAAAGACCCCTAGAGCGGCTCGGCTCACTGCAGCACACAGCACCTGGGAAGAGCCCCTGAAGTCCTAGTGCCCCCCAGGCGAGTGCCGTGCTGGCGCAGGCATAGAAACAAGTCAGGCGCTGCTCGCCCTGGCTGGGCCAGCCTGGGTGCAGATCACCTGCGTTCCTCTGCAGGGTAGGCCTATCCCACGACGTCTCCAGGGTTATCGTTTTCAATTCCCTGCCATCCTGTGCTGAGCCCCCAGGGGTCGTGAGGGGCAGAAGCTGCTGAGGGTGGGGAGACAGTACCCATTTAGGTGCCCGGCGCTCAGGGAAGGTGAGGCAGTGTGGTGGAGAGCTGTGCCCTGGCAGGAGGGCGCCATTCTCTGGGCGTGGGCAGGGGTGGGAGCCCCACTCCATCCTGGCCAATCCTGCAGACATCACGCCAGAGATGGCCACTGGGGGCACGTCTACACTGCAGTTCAAACCTGCGGCTGGACCATGCCAGCTGCTTTGGGCTCACAGGGCCTGGGCTACAGGGCTGTGTAATTGTGGTGCAGACGTTCGAGGTGGGAGGGTCCCAGAGCACTGAGCCCGAAAGCCCCTTAGCCCGAGCCCTGCAAGCACAAGTCAGCTGGCCCGGGCCAGCCACGGGCTGTTAATTGCAGTACAGACATGGGCTCACCGCTTAACACTTGCCAATCAGCCATAAAGGCTAGAGACATGGTCTGGCTCCAAACGTTCTCGCAGCCGGGGGCAGGGGGCCTGGCCCGTCTCACGCAATTCATTTGTTTTTACAAAGAAGTTGACTGTGACCGAACCTCCGGGTGAGCAGCGAAGAGTCGCTCAGTTCCCTCCTGGAGCCTCCTTCTGTTGGTCTGGCCCGTGAGAGATGGCGCTGGAGCGTGACGCTGTGGGCTGAGGGTTTTAGATCCGATCACAGCACCTCTCCAGGCATTTTGGTGGGCAGAGTAGGGACCAAACTGCTGTGCCAAGGGCAGTGCTGGCAACTTGCCTGCAGCTTCTAGCACCAGGCACTGCCAGCACTGGTCACAGAGAGCAGCAGCTTCCTCTGCAAGGAGGGCTAGGTGTCTGTGGGAGGAGTACGGTGCGCGCTGTGCACTGCAGGCACGTGTGGCAGGATCCCTCCTTCCCTGGGGATGTACCATCTGTGTGTGCTCCCACTTGGAAACGCCTGTCTGCCACCATGGCCCCAGCCCCAGCCCTGCTCAGCCAGTAGCACGGTGCTTTTCAGCCTGTGCTCTGTGGACCCCTGCGGAGCCGCCGACTGTCTAAGGGCTGGTCCACACTAACCCCCCCATTCAAACTAAGATACGCAATTTCAGCTACGTGAATAATGTAGCTGAAGTCGAAGTACCTTAGTTCGAACTACAAGGTACTGACCGCGGGTCCACATGCGGCAGGCAGGCTCCCCCGCCGACGCCACATACTCCTCTCGCGGAGCAGGAGTACTGACGGCGAGCACTTCCAGGATCGATTTATCACGTCTAGACAAGACCCGATAAATCGATCCCAGAAGATCGATTGCTTACCGCCGAACCCGGGGTAAGTATAGACGTACCCTAAGGGGTCCACGAAAGGGTGCCGTTACCATAGCCCAGTGCTTTTCAGCCAGGGGCCCTCAGACTGTAAGATTTCCAAAGGAGCCTGCACCTCCATTCGAAATTTTGTAGGGGTCCGTAAATGAGAAAAGGTTGCAAACCCCTGGACTAGCAGGTCTGGCTTGGCTGAGAACAGTTGCTCAGTTACAAGGGGCCGTGCCCTTGTGGTCAAGGGGCCGGGCCCTGGGAGCTCTGGGTAAACTCCCAGCTCTGCCACAGACCTTGGGCACATCATACCGCTCTCTGCACCTTGCGTTCCTCCAGCAGTGCAGGGGAGAGCGGCTCCCTTTCCTACCTCCCAAGGAGGTATGAGGCCAGATTCCCCAGTCTCAGCAGGCGGCTGTGGGGGCACCTAGCTACCCCCTCCCCTGTGCTGAGCGTGCTCTGGGAGCTGCACCCACTGGGGCCCGCTGAGCAGCATTTTCAGTGCCTCTCATTTTACGTCACCTGAGTAAGGGCAGTGGCTTAAAAGTTCCCCTTGTGCAGGAGCTGCCCTTGTACCTGCAGCGCCCATCCCTGTTCTGCAGAGCTCGGGGATCTCTGTGTCTTAACTCAGTGTCCCCCGGTAAGTGGGGTTAGTCACTGATCTCGATCATGTAATTAGAGAGACTTATTTTCTTACTAGCACTGCGTAACAAAGCGCCATTTCCAATGAGCAGTCGCCTCTCCCTTGGGGCTAATGCCCTGTCTGCTGTGGAGTGACAGCGAGAACTGCTCTGGTTTATGTACGCGTCTCCATGTCGCGGCCGCAGCCTGCGGTGCCTGGGAACGGCCAGGCAGACGTTTCATACAAATAAAAATGGGGGAGAGACCCTGTGTTCCCTGAGTGAGAGTGGTTCGGGGGAGGGGTGGGATCGTGGGCGAAGTGTGTTGGGTGGGTATAGAGTGACCAGACAGCAAGTGTGAAAATCGGGACAGCATGGGGGGGGGTCATAGGAGCCTATATAAGAAAAACCCAAAAATGGGGACATCTGGTCACCCTATGCGGGTGGCTGTAGCAGCACGTGGTGCCCGCGTTGTCACAGAGTGACACCTGGCTACTGGAACAACTGAAACCCTCGCTGTCTTCGGCAGCCCCTGGCTATCCTCCTTTGGCGCCGTGCGAACCTGGGAGGCGGGGGCCTGCTCTAAATTACAGACAGAACAAAGAGCTGCCCTTTTGCTCCAGTCCCACTCCAGCCCCCGTTCCTGAGCTGCTCCTCTGTGGCTGCCGTTATCTCTAGCCCCAGAGCCGGGCACCAAGGGTTTCTTTGGAAGGGCTGGTGCATACCCAGAAAGAAGCCAGTTGTGCTTGCTCTGAGCTAGCTGCCAGTAGCCCTAGCATGTGTCTAGCTTCTGAGGTGAATGACCATGTTTGCGAAGGGCTTTGAAGATGACCATCGCAGAGGCTGGAGGGTTTTGTGGCTAAAGCCCAGGACTGGGAATGGGCAGATCTGGACCCCTCCTTGGCTGTGAGACCTTGGGCAAGACACATGACTTGAGATTAGAGACCTGGCTGCTGGACAAGATCAGGGTGAGGGAAGTGGAGTGTGTGTGAGCAGCATGTGATTCTAGAGCAGAGACAAGTGCCCCTTAGTACATGGATCCATAGAGCTTCCAAGTGTAACCAGCGCCCAGTTCTGCCAGCGCTGTTCATGGGAGTTCGCTCCTGCAGTAGTTCCATGCTCCCCGAGTGGATTAGGCCTCGCACTGCCCATTTTGCATGTGGGGAAACTTGAGAACGAGTAAATGACTAAAGCTTCCCTGGCAGGCGGGGACCCCGTCTAAGTGGCTATCCTGGTGATGCAACACAAATGTCCCCTTGGGACAATGGATGGGTGTCTCCACGATTCCAAATCAATGCCACTCAACTCACATGGCAGAAGAGCCTTTTTATTTTCTCCCCAACTCCCCCTAGGATCTGAAAGTCAAGCTGGGTTCCCCTGCCTCCCTCAGCAGCCCCAGCAATGCTGGTTCTGCTGTAGGACCCCGGCTGTCCCTTTTGCTGGTGCACAAGATGGAGCAGTTCCTGCAGGGCTAAGGGCTGGGTGGCGTCAGCCAAGGCAGCAGGTCTGGCATGAAGAGACACAGCGCAGCCGTGTGAAGTATTTACCTTATTCACACACACACACCTCAAAGTTCTTGTTTCGATTTCCTTGGTCTGGGTTTTGCAAAGAGCTCAGCTGCTGCTCTCCCAGCCGAGAGGAAACCCCAGCGCTGGACCGGAGACGCTGCCGTCTGATGCAGATAACTTCCACCTTGAGATCAGTGCAGCTTTTCCATGCTTCTGAGGTGAAAAGCCAAACCCGCCGCTCTGCCAAGCCCTTCAGGCAAAGTCCCCTTTGGGGCAGGGCACCGCGTGGGCTGAAACCAGCTGGGAGGGGGGTTGTTTACAAAACTCCTCCACAGCCCTTGCTTTCACACACTGCTCCTGCTAACACTGGCCAGGGGTCGGGGACACCCCCCAGGGGCTGGTCCCTGTGAGAGGCGTAGGAGTCTGCTCCGGCCTGGCCTGGCTGGAGCACCAGGAGTGGAGGCTGCTTCGGGGCCCAGCGCTGCTTGTGTATTTCCTGGCCAGGAACGGGGCTGGCAGTGGGGTTTGAACAGCTGCCCATTTCCGAGGCTCGGGCTGCAGTGCCCCTGGCAAGGGGAAGTATGTAACCCCTGGGAACCTAGCATGGTCCTTTGTTCCCCTTCCCCTCCAGGTGTGTGACTGCTGGGGATGTGCACATACATCCCCAAATTGCTGGTTCAGTCCCTGGCGGTGACCCATCGTCAGTGCTTCAGAAGGTGCTGTTTTTATAGGGTCTCTCTCCTAATGGTAAACACACTCTGGCCGAACAGCCAAATCCCTGTGGCCCCCGTAACCCCTCAGCAAAGCTGCTCTTCCTGGGGGTTTGCTTGCTGGCTCTTCCCACCCCCAGGTCCCTGCAGCTTGGAGCCCTGCCTGCATGGAGGGGAGCTCATCTGACACTCCTCGAATTACCTGCGCTCCGGGATCAGATTCGCTGGGCTGAGAGCTGAAGCCATCTATAATTCAGCAGGGGCAGCTACCATTGTGGCCCTGAAAGCAGGGCGCCACGATGCTGCGGAGATCAGGCCGGCGAAGCAAGAAGACTGGCGAGGAGGGGGAGGAGGAGAAGTCCATGGAGAACGGAGTGTCCCCAGAGCAGGGGGCCACAGAGGCCTCGCCTGAAGTGGGGAGAGCTGGGGATGGTGCCCCCGCTGCCTGCTCGCAGCCCTCCCTGCGGGTCCGGCCCAGGCTGATCTTCCACACGCAGCTCGCCCATGGCAGCCCCACGGGCAAGATCGAGGGCTTCACCAACGTGAAGGAGCTGTATGCCAAAATCGCCGAGGTCTTCGACATCTCTCCCACCGAGGTGAGGCAGGAGCAGCGTGGGGGGTGGGGTGAGCAGGGGGTAACCCAGCCGAAGCGCCAGGATACCTGAGCCTGACGCACCTGCGCCAGTGCCGAGGCTCCCCACTGCCCTCGATCGGTGGGGGGGGTCTGCTGTTCGCCTTTGGAGCCCTGCACGTTCCAGCTGCTGGCGCTGGTCACCAGAGGGTTAACGCCAAGCTCTCTGGTTACAGCTGCAGGACGCCATGGAGCGTCTGCCCCGGGTAATCAGCAATGCACCAGGGTCCGTCTGGTCCCTGCCGTTCCTGTACGGTCATTACCAAGCCTCCTGTGGGCTCTAGTCCCAGCTCCACCGTGACTCTCTCTGTGACCCCGGGCAAGACACGGCTCCCCTCGGTGCCTCAACTTCCCCATCTTACCCACCTTTCCAAAGAGCTACACCTAGAAGCGGCGTAATCAGTACGGGTGATAAGAACTCTGGTCAGTCCCCTTGGCTAAGGAACAATCAGGACCAGTTGGCCCAGGTTTATCTATGCAGTGGCTGTCAGCCTACCCTATGGGGCTGGGTGCTCTGAGCTGAATGGCGCTAGGAGAGGCACGTTATTCCACCGATTGGGTGGACCTCTCGCCTTCGCTCCAGCCCAGGCGAGTTGTGACTCTCACTTGTTACCCTCTGATGCTGCTCAGACGCTTGCAGGAAATGGGTGTCGCTCTCGTGTGGGCAGAGCTGGGACTGCCCCTTAGCGCCCTTGTGTTGTTCCTGTTCACGCTTAGTTCACTACTTCTGGACAGGGCCGCAGGAACCCGTGCTGCTGCGGGTGCCCTCTGGGAGCCTGCCCCTGCCCCTCCATCTTGTCGGGGTCAAGCTTGCGATCTCAGCTGTGGCTCTGGCAGCATAGTGTACGGGAGACACCAGGTCCATGTCTCAGAAATTCACCCTAGTTATTCTTTAGTGCATCCTAGAGGCCCCAACCGAACCCAGGCCCTGATTGTGCTGGGCGCTGCACAAACACCGTCAGCCAGGCCCTGTCTCCGAAGAGTGTGAAATCCAAACAAACCCGACGGGGAAGGATGGTTATCCCCATTTTACAGATGGAGACACTGAGGCACAGAGCAACTAAGAAATTTGCCTGATCTGTCAGAGTCAGGGAATGTACTGAATCCAGTCTGGTTAATTAACCAACAGCCAACCTGCTTCTATCATAACAAAACAACAAAACCCCATCATGTTTGTGGTTTGAAAATGCACCTAGTTTTGCCCACTCTGAGTTGCAGACCCTGGAGTTCCCGTGAAGGCTGCGTGGGGACAGCTCAGTTCTGTGGGTTATTCGTTTAGTTTTGCACGGTGATGATCACCCGAAAGGCGTTTGGCTCAGGGTGCTGCTCAGTAATGATGTGGGCTTGTCGCGTGTGGTCGAGGGCCTCCGTTTTCACAAGCGGCTGCAGTCGGGAATGGGAACGTCTCCCACAAACGCAAGGCTCGCTTCTCCGATTGGCCCATTTCCCTTTTCTCGAGGCAAACGCCTTTCACGTGATCATCCATGCACAAAAATAGATCAAATAAGCCCCAGGACCAGCTTGTTTCCCCCCCCCCCCCCCCGGCAAAAAGCAGAATTCCAAGGTCTGCAACTCAAAATGGGCAAAAAGAGGTAATTTCCCACACGCGGGTGGGGGCACCATGGTTCTGGGTGCTCTGTGCCCCTCTGGTGTATGCCAGCCGCTGCCCCGCTGAGCTGTCGGGCAGAGTGTGTTCCAAGCTCCCCGCCCCGGTGGGCAGAACGGTGAGGGAGCTGCTCTCTGGCAGATCCTTTTCTGCACCCTCAACACCCACAAGGTGGACATGCAGAAGCTGTTGGGGGGCCAGATCGGCCTGGAGGATTTCATCTTCGCACATGTGCGGGGCGAGACCAAGGAGGTGGAGGTGACCAAGACAGAGGATGCGCTGGGGCTGACCATCACCGACAACGGGGCGGGCTATGCCTTCATCAAGGTGGGTGAGGGCCATGGGCTGGAGGGGCCGCAGTGGTGGAGGGGAAATCGTGCCAGGGACAGCCAAGAATTATCCATCAGGAGGGGTTTGGGTGTTTTTAATGGAAAATTGGGGTTTTGGTGAAAAGTGGCTGTCGGCTTCTTGTGAGAAACCTCCAGTCTCTGTTAAAAAACTACACCCCCGACACCCAAACTGTCTGGAGTTGGGAACCCTGCCATGGTGCCTCCTGGGAGCCGTAGTTTGGATATTTCATGTTCCCATTCGCCTTACTCCCCAGCTGGACTCTAGCTCCCATGATGCACTGTGACCCTGATGCCCATGATGCCTCACCAACTGGGGAGAGCCTGGTGCATCATGGAAGTAGTAGTCCAACCAGGCAAGCCGGTGCCTAGAGGAGGGTGGGAGCAACAATCACTGAACTGCAACTCCCATGAGGCACCAGGTGGCGTTTCTCAATCAAAATATTTCTGTTTTCTATTTGTTGCTGAAAAGTCAAAACTTGGGGGGGGGAGCATGGGGACTTTTCAGGTCAGACAGTCCAGGGCGGGGCCAGGGGGCGCGGAAGGCTGGTTTCCAGGAGATGGCCCATAGGGCGGCTTATGCAGTTCAGCCCTGGGACTGCTGAGTCGGGAGCAGAGAGTTTACAGATATTTATTCTCGTTAAAGTCACCTCCCCACACAATGTAACTGTCCCATTCACTGCACACAGTAGGGAATCTCCCAGCACACGGAATCAGATGGGGATGAGTGGGGACATGGAAGAAATGGCACCAGAGAGAGCCTCGTTGGAGGAGGCGGCTGAGAGCACACTGCTGAGAGGCTCTGAGAGCAGGGCTGCTCTAGAGAAGGCAGAGTGGGGGCCTCTGATCTCCCCCTCTCATGGGGTGAGAGCAGGGGTTGTTCAATGACATGGAAAAGCAGAAAATGTGAAACTGATCCAAGGTGATGCCTGTGGAACTCACTGCCACAAGATACCAGGGAGGCCAAGCACTTGGCAGGACTCAGAAAAGGGTGTGGAGATGGCTACAGAGCAGCGGTTCTCAACCTGCAGCCTCCCTGCTTCAGAGCATGAGCCAGCCTCTAGCTGGGGGGTCAGGAGGGACTTGGCCCCAGGACAGGTTACTGTAGGGGCCGGGTTGCCTGCAGGGATTCTCGCACCTTCCCTGGTGCCGGTGTTGGGAGATTGGGCTGGGGGGGACCAGCAGGGCGATGCCTGAGGAACCAGGGAACCTCAGCTGAAGATAAAAATACCCAGGGAGCTGCTTTCTGTGTGAGAGCCTGGGGGGGGGGGTAAATCAGAGCCCTGCGGATTGCCCCCCTCCCCACAGAGTCCTGGAGCTGGGGGGAGGGAGGCAAATACCCCTCCTGGGAAAGTAGCCTGAAGCTTTGCTCAGCTGGACACGGCCCTTCCCCCTGCAGAGGAGGGAGGAGAGGGGAGGGGAGTCCCCCCCATTGCCCTTCCCAGGGGCTGGGTCTCTCCAATCCAGCCTAGGCTCACATAGGGGCAGGGCTGGGCCCGGGGCCCCAGATCCCACCTGGCCCCACGGCACCGGGTGCTGCCCGGACCCAGAGCTGAGCCCATCAGCCACGTTCCCGGCCGGGCGGTGACTTCCCTCGGTGGTTCCAGGCGGCGCTGGAGAAACACCCGCTGCTGCGGTCAACCCCCGCCCCAGGGGGCAGATCTAGGTCACCCCCTGCCCAGCAGCACCGCCCCTGAGGGCTGGGAGGTGCCTGTGTGGCCCCCCGATGTGTAAGCAGGGCCGGCCGGGGCGGGCAAGTGGGGCAATTTGCTGTGGGCCCCACAGGGGCCCCCACGAGAATATAGTATTCTATAGTATTGCAACTTTTTTTTATGGAAGGGGCCCCCAAAATTGCTTTGCCCCAGGCCCCCTGAATCCTCTGGCCAGCCCTGTTGTAAGGACAGGGAGCAGCTCAGCCCGGCTGTGTCTGTCCCCCCGATCGGCCGTGACCCCTCGCTGCCCCCCCGGCCATGTCCTCGCACCACTCCTCCCCCCCGCTGACCAGCGTGTCCCACGCTGCCCCCCCGGACGTGTCCTCGCACACACACACCCCCGCTGACTGGCGTGTCCCGTGCTACAGAGGATCAAGGACGGGAGCATCATGAACCGCGTCCAGACCGTGCGCGTGGGCGACAGCATCGAGGCCATCAACGACCAGAGCATCGTGGGCTGCCGCCACTACGAAGTTGCCAAGATGCTGCGGGAGCTGCCCAGGGCCCGGCCCTTCACCCTGCGGCTGGTGCAGCCCAAACGGGCCTTTGGTGAGTTACACACACGCGCACAAGCACACACACATGCACGCACACAGACACTCTGCGGCCGCAGGGTCAAGTGTTTGCTGCCCCCGGCCTCTGACCCAGCGGATGGGGGTTAAACCGGCTGCCTGAGCATCACAATCGGCTGCAGATTTGCCCTTATCACAAAACCAGTGTTCAGAATAACTGGGAATCACTCATCAGTAGAGACCCCAGGCTGCGGGTCAGGAGTGAGGGGCACCGGCAGAGCGGGTGGGGGGCAGGGCTGGGCTGGCAGGGGCTGTGGGTCAGGAGTGAGGGGCACCGGCAGAGCTGTGGGGGAGCCCAGGACTGGGCTAGCAGGAGGCTGCGGGTCAGGAGTGAGGGGCACCGGCAGAGCTGTGGGGGGAACCCAGGGCTGGGCTAGCAGGGGCTGCGGGTCGGGAGTGAGGGGCACCAGCAGAGCTGTGGGGGGAGCCCAGGGCTGGGCTGGCAGGGGCTGTGGGTCGGGAGTGAGGGGAATTACTGTGGCAGGCTTTAGGACTGTGGCGGCAGCCTCTCCATTGTCAGATGGGTGCAGGGAGGGGATGTGGTCTGAGGTCACAGCGAGTCTATGGCCCGATCCTGGGTCCCAGCCCAGAGTGTCTGCCCCATGAGTCCATCCTACAGCTGGCCTGGGTTTGTAGGACCAGTGATGCTAGAGGTGGGAAAGCCCTTAGCCCCTGCAGCCCATCTCCCAACGAATGGTACAGAGAACATTAAACAGGTGCCGCCTGGGCCAGCCAAACCGCTCCTCCGCAGCTCTGCCGGCGGTCCTCAATCCCGACCCTCAGCCCCTCCTGTCCGCTCCAGCCTTGGGTCTCCAACCCAGCTCTAGCAGTGCCTCTCGGCCCTGGCCTGTGTCACCCTCCGCTCCACCCTGGCATTGGGTGTGTTCCCGCGACCCCCCCAGGACCCTCTGTCCCCTCCAGTGAGGAGCTTCCAAAGGGACCCAACCCAGCCCCTTGGGGGCACTGTAGGGCCCTTGTGACTCCTCAGGCCGGGCCTGGCCCGGCCCAGAGGCTGCTGGGTGAGCGAGTCCCTGTCTCTCCTCCGGGGGAGCCTGTCGCCCTGGGTAGCCCCTCCTGCAAGGGGTGCGACCGACCCGATTGCCCCAGAGAGCCACGGCCTGGACCTGCTCGGGCTGTTCCGAGATCTGTGCAATTCCACGTGCCCGTGTGTGTATGCCCACGTGTGCACCGGTGTGTGCACATGCACATGCGTGTGGAGCTGCAATCCCAGCATTGGAAGCCAGGTCGCTGGGCTGGGTCACCAGGAAGCCGTGGCCTTGCCCTGGGGTTCTTCCATTCCCCGCTCCTCCCCACCGGCCTCCACCCGCCCCCTCTCTCCTGCTCCCCTGGGGAACGTCGGGCAGCTCATGTCAGTGTCTCCCACCAGAGGGCGCGGCTGGGCCCGGTGCTGAAGCCTAGCGGGCCCTGTACCCGGCGGTGTGACTTGCTGCCTCCGGGGGCGCTGCTGGGGGCTGAATGACTCCCCCGGGGCTGGGCCCGGCCATTGGCCCCTGGTTTGAGGTAGGGTTGCCAGGCATTCAGGTTTCGACCAGAACGCCCAGTCGAAAAGGGACCCAGGCGGCTCCGGTCAGCACTGCTGACCAGGCCATTAAAAGTCCGGTTGGCACGGGGCTGGCAGGCTGCCTGACTGCCCTGGCTCCACGCAGCTCCCGGAAGTGGCCGGCATGTCCGGCTCCTAGGCGCAGGGGCAGCCACGGGGGCTCTGCGTGCTGCCCCCGCCCTGAGTGCTGGCTCTGCAGCTCCATTGGCCGTAGGCAGAGATCCCTGGCCATCCCTTCACCTAGGAGCTGGACATGCCAGCCACTTCCGGGAGCCGCCCCAGGGAAGTGCTGCCCAGAGCCTGCACCCCAACCCCCTGCCCCAGCCCAGAGCCCCCTCCCACACTCCAAACCCCTCAGCCCCACCCCAGAGCCTGCACCCCCAGCCAGAGCCCTCACCCCCTCCTGCAACCCTGCCCCAGCCCGGTGAAAATGAGCGAGTGAGTGAGAGTGGAGGAGAGTGAGCGATGGAGGGAAGAAGGATGGAGGGAGTGGGGGCGGGGCCTTGGGGCAGGGGCAGGGCCTCAGGGCAGGGGGCAGGCAAAGATGTTTAGTTTTCAGTGATTAGAAAGTGGGCAACCCTAGTTTGAGGTGGGAATTAATTGTGTTAATTGGGGAAGGGAGCTCGGATCCCATTAATTCAGGCCTGGGACCAGCTCGGGGCCTTTCTGCTTCCACCCACTGCGACTGTGCACCCCCTTGGGGCCGGGGGCTGCCTGCACTGGCTGAGCTATCGCTAGAACGAGTTAATGCCGTTCTCAGCCACGCTGCAGCTTTTAATCCTTCCCACTGCCCTCCAACACCCAACTGCCCCTCCCACATCCCCCATGCCTCCCCACAGCCTGCAACCCACCACAGCCCACGTCCCCCGACACTGATTTACCCCCCACTACTGCCCTCCACACTGCCCCTCATCACCCCCAGGCTGCAGGCATCCAAGGGATACTTGGTCCTCACGCAGCCCTTGACGATGTGCTGCTGTGATCAGCTGCCACGTTCCACCCCAGAGGTGGCTGCATTCCAGTGATGCCGAGAGAAGGGCTCTGTGTTCTCGTTTTGGGGCGATGTTCAATGGAGCTTAGGCTGTTCTCTCTGGGTAGGCCAATTGACAGAGCCCCTTTCTGTGCCCCAGAGTGTGATAGACCCCAGCGGGCCGATCCACCCCCACCCACTGCCAGAGGTCAGTCACTTCCTGGGACTTCCTGTACGGGAGGATGGGGGGTGTTGGGCCGGTGCCCATTGCCCAGGGCTTGCCTGGCCCCCAGGGGGTCTCCCGGGTGGAGCTGGGTCTTTGCTCCCCAGGGCATGGTGCCCTGGCACTAGAGAAAGACACCAGGACCCTGTGCCCACCCTGGTACCCGCTCTGAAAGCCCACTCACCCCCCGTCTGTGTCCCAGATATGATCGGGCAGAGGACCAAGAGCAGCAAGTGCCCGGGCGAGGGCAAGGTGGCCAGTGGCAAGGAGACCCTGAGGCTGCGTGCCCGGGGCACCGCCAGCCTGGAGGAGGTGGTAAGTTGGGGGTGTATCCCCTCCCCATGACTGAATCGGGGGGGGAGGCGAAGGGGATGATACGTGTAAGGAGTGAAATCCCCAGGGGCCTGTGGGCGTGAGGGGGGGCTCACACTGCTATTCCCCAGCACAGGCTGCTGCCACTCCCGCCCCCTGGCCCAGCCCCCCAGTTCTGGCTCCCTGTGGGGAGCTCCTGGAATCGCTGTTCACTGGAGCTCTGTCCAAGGACCCAGGCGTCCTAGCGAGAGGAGGCAGCTCCAGGACCTGCAGGGTGAGGGAGCCAGGGACCTGGGCATGGGTGCCAGTGACTACACATTGCATGTGCACACATGACACGTGCTCACACAGGTGGGTGCAGTCGGTCCCATGCGCGCACGGTGCTGTACACGCAGTCACCGCCCATGGCCCATGCCAGGGGGGACACAGTCGTGTGCAAATGTGCACAGCCCCAGAGATGCCCCTAGTCGCGCATGCACCTGGATGTGCGCACACAGTCACGCGTGTGTACTCACTGGCCAGGCAGGGCTGGGTGGCGGGTACCTGCCCCCCACCCCACCCTGGTGCTGCAAAGGGGCCGTTTCCTGTCCGGGCCTCCCGCTATCCGCCTGGGGGGGCGGAGTTCAGGGCCTGACCAGTGCAGCCACTCTCCATGCCAGGGGCCCCGATCCTGGGCAGCATCCTGTCGCCGGGGGTGGGGGAGGTGACCCCGTGGGGGGTCCGAAACTAGCAAGGAGCAAAAAGCTGGTCCGAGTTGGGCCAGGGAACCCCCTTGATGCACAGTAGGGTCCATCTGGCCAAGGCCCCTCCTGCCCCAGTGGACTCCCCTCCGCCAGCCCCTGTGCCCGTGGGGGCTGCGCCCCAGTCCACGAAGGCCCCTCCCATGGAGCCCAGGGCTGTCACCGGGCCTGGACCAGGGCCTCCGATCCAGCTCCCTGCAGCGATTAGGGGCGGAGATGGTTGAGCCAACGGTGACTTTGCTGACCTGGCCCCCGTCCACAGCCCAGCGCCTGGGAGGAGGAGGCTGCCCGGAGGGTGGACGACCTGCTGGAGAGCTACATGGGCATCCGGGACGTGGAGTTAGGTGAGCAGGGCTGGGCCCCGGGGTGGGGGCGGATTGCGGGGGAGAGCAGGTTCCAGGCCCCAGGGAGGAGGGGAGGGCAGGTCCAGGGTCCTGGGGAGGGCAAGGGCTGGCATGGGGGAGTGCCGGGGCTGGGCCCCGGTGATGGGGGGAAGCCAGGGGCTGGGTCCCGGTGACGGGGGCGGGAGGCCAGGGGCTGAGCTCTGGTCACACGGGGGAGGCCAGGCTGGGCCAGTGCCTCGTTGCCCTTCCCAGCAGATCCCTTGGCCCCTGGGCCTGTCCCAGGGTGTGAGAGTCCAGCCCGTAGCCCTGACCCCCCAGCTGAGCTCTGTCCTCTCTCCATAGCCTCAACCATGGTGGAGGTGGCCCGGGAGTGCCTGAGCCCCGTGGAGTTTGCCAAGAGCCTGGACTCAGTGCTGGGCGAGTTCGCGTTCCCGAGCGAGTTCGTGGCCGAGGTCTGGGCCGCCATCAGTGGAGCCAAGGGGGGCAGGAAATAGGGGGGGCTGAGCACTTGGCCTGTGACGCCTGCCCCCCGGCCATGCGCTCCCTACTGTCCCAGCTGCAGCCCCCGTCCTCCTGCTCCGGGGGGAGCCCTGCGGTGCCCGCACTGGCTGGCTGGGCCCAGCTCCTGCCCCAGAGAGGCCCCACACCGAGCTGGGCATGGGCTGGCGAGGGCCCCTCCAAGGAACCCAGGGGATCTGCCTCAGGCCCCAGTTAGATGGGGTGGTGGACCCGGGAGGAGGGGAAGGGCAGTCCCTGCAGGCTCAGGGCTAGTCCAGGCCGTGGTGCCCATCCTGGCTATGAGCCCAAGAGCTGGCAGCTCCTCAGGGCCTCAGTGGGTCCCTCCCCTGGAGCCACCGTCCATCGCTGCCTCCCCCTTCCGCCCCCTGCATAGCAGCCAGGGCTGGGGCTGAACCCAGGGGGCAGTTGGGGGAACCCTGGAGAGGGGGGGACAGGCCAGGACTCATGTGGGGACAGTGGGGTTGGTGTGACTCTGACCTTTTCCTCTCCCTTTGCGCGATGACTTCCCCCACCCGCAGCCAGTGGGCGAGGGGGGCAGAGGCCTGCTCTGGGGGCTGAGGTGGGCAGGGGCCCGGCTCTGGGGGCCAGGGCCCAGCTCTGGGGACCCTGGGGGCAGGGGCCTGGCTCTGGGGGTGAGGGGGGCAAGGGCCCAGCTCTGGGGGCAAGGGCCCGGCTCTGGGGGCAGCTGGGTCAGTGCAGCAACCTCCCCCATTGGGCTTGTTGGCCGCTGCACGGCCAAGCATCTCTGTGGGGGTCCTTTGCCCACCACCCCTGGACCCACGGCAAGCCCGGACTGTGCCCCAGACTGGGCCGGGGGGCAGCAGTGGGACCCCCGGCCATTCACAGGGCTGGGTCAGGGAGCCCTCGAAGCACTTTCTGGCTGTCCAGCGCCGAAGGGGCCCAGGGACCTGGCTCAGCGGCTGTTGCCGTCGTCTGAGGCCCTGCGGAGGTGGGGAGCGGCGTGAAGGCAGCAGCCAGCCCCGGCCGGCATGGGGGGCAATCGGGGGGAGAGAGGGGACTCAGCCCCCCCAGCAGATCGTGGTGGCGATGCCGGCTCCGCAGGCCTGATGTGGGGGGTCTCTCTTGTGGAGACCTGCGACTGCGGAGCCAGTCGGGCTCCAGCGCCCTCCCACCCTGGGGGTGCGGGTCAGACCCCACCTCGACTGCTGGCGTGGGCCAGCCCCGTGGAGCCGGCTTGCTGGGCCCAGCCGGGCTCCTCGCCGGGCAGGGACCGTTCTGGGTGGCAGCCTCAAGGGAGGCCACGAGGGCGAAGGGCTGCCCTGGCCGCACGCTGCTCAGGGGAGGCTGAGATGAGAGCGGCAACTGATGGGAGAGAGACGGGCATGGGCTCCTCAGAGCCCGGAGCGGGGAGGAGTCACCATGTGAGCTCACGTCTCGTGATATGTGACGAGGTCCTCAGAGCCCCAGCTCCTGGAGTCCCGGGATCGTGGGACAATCTGGGCGTTCATTAAAAGCAAACAAAAAAGGTCAGTTTCTGGCTCTTGTAGTTGTTGGGGAAACAGTGGGAAACGTGGAAGGTGAACGGCCTAAAGGGCCCCAAATCCAAAGCACAAGCCCCCAAGTTAGTTAAATCCTGTCAGGTGGGGGAAGGGCTGCGGAGTGCCTGGGCTGGGGGGCCAGGAGCTCTCTCCTCCCCCGTGTTAATGCTGACAAGCCAACCTCAACGAGCTTTAAGGGGTGTGAATTAAAGCCCCTTCCCCATGTGGCGTGCCAGGGCTGGGCCTGCCCGGCAGCTCTCCAGTCAGCCACAGAGTCTCCCAGGGCCCGGAGCCCGTGTTAAAAACAAACTCACTCCCAGGTGTTCACCGCGCCCCTTCCCCGGGCAGAGCCAGGCGCCGAGAGCGGAACCAACCAGGCTTTTATTGCTGGAATGAGCATGCGGATTGTGCTGGGGTGCCACGGTCCGGTGTGATCGCCTGCCTCCCAGCCAACCTTCCCCCTTTCTGTGTCCTGAGACAGCCCCCATCCCCTAGCCAGCCTGTCCCTTTCCTGCCCCCTAACAGCCCCCTGCCCCTGGTCAATCCCCCTCCCCCAGCCAGCCTGTCCCCTTCCTGCCCCCAACAGCCCCCTGCCCCTGGACAGACCCCCGTCCCTCTCCCCCAGCCAACCTTCCCACCTTTCTGTGCCCCCCTGTGCCCCGAGACAACCCCTGTCCCCCAGCCAGCCTGTCCCCTTCCTGCCCCCTGGACAGCCCCCATCCCTGTCCTGCCCCTCTAGATAGCCCTGTCTCCTTCCTGCCCACCCCATCCCTCTCCTGCCCTCACCCCAGGCTGCAGGGACAATAACTCCCTTCCAAGCAGCAGCGGGGGCTGTCGTCCGTGGGGCCGAGTCCGACACCCAGCTGAGGCCCAGGCAGGAAATTCCAGCCGTGACCCCCGGCCCGTCTGGCACCAGACGCAGCATCTCAGCAGACACCGGGAGCGAAGCCGGGGTGAGCCTGTGAGCGACGCACCAGAGGGTGCACTTGCAGTCCGGGGCGGGGGGGGGGGGAACACTGGCGGTGGGTGCAGCTGGGGTGCACGGTGGGAGGGGGTGGCTCCTACTCCAAGGATTGTGGGGTTTTAAATGAGGTTTTTCTGCCCAAGTTGTAAAGCCAAGAGTCAGGGAGGGCTCTCAGCACCCACCCCAGGAGCGCCATGGGCCATGGGTGCTGGCACCATCCAGGATGGGGTGTGGCTTTTGGAGCTGGTGCTGAGAGCCCCATTCTGCCAGCCCACGGCTCAGGCATCCAACCTCATGCTTCCTGGCAGGGGTCAGGCAGGGAACTCAGCCCCACAGCTCCCTGCTGCCAGGCAGGCCAGGCCCAGAGATTGGAGGCAACATCAGTTCAGGTGCCAACCCAGGCCGTCTGTCCCTGGGGCAGGCTGAGTCCAGGCTGGGGCCCGTCTCTCCCTCGTGCCCCCTGACCAGGTGGCCCTGGCAGTGCCCACTCTGGGCCCATTGCTCGCTGCCCGCCCAGATGCCCCCCGCTACTGCAGCACGGACTCCTGGGTGAGCTTGCGGCGCAGCGAGGGGTTGAGCATGGGGTAGAGGGAGACGATGGAGGGCCGTGTCTTGAGGCTGGGGTAGATGCGCTTCAGCACGGCCCTGCGGAAGAGTATGTAGACCCAGGGGTCCAGGATCTGGTTCCAGGTGACCATGCGCAGGTAGATCAGCAGCATCTCCTCGGTCTGCCGCGGGATCTGGCGGGGCAGCAAGTCGGGGGCGGGCTCCTGCAGGACCGTCTGGATGATAAATATCTGGGGGGGAGGGGAGAGGTTACGGGGAGGAACAGGTGCGGGCAGAGGGTCTCAGTGGTCCTGCAACCACGGCTATGTCATGCCCCATGGCCCATGTCCTGCCACCTGCCTGGGGCCACACAGCGTCTGTCTGTCTGTCCATCCCACCACAGGGGGTCACGCAGTGTCTGTCTGTCTGTCCATCCCCCCCTCTGCCTACAGCCGCGCAGCATCTGTCTGTCTGTCCATCCCCCCATCCGCCTAT